CTGCCTGCCTGCCTGCTTGATGACTGCTGCCTGCCTGATTCGTGCGTTGCGCTGTGGCTGGCTGCGGGGCGGCCTGGGCCGGCGGGACTCGACTAGACAGACCCACCAGACCCAGCGATTTTGCTGCCTCGTCCGACCGGCTCTATTTTTTCGTCCTCCTCCCCCGAGCCTGCGACCCGCCGCTCTCTCTCGACAGCCAACGAACCGCCCAACTAGTCAGACAAGGGAGCGGCTCGACGGAGGGAGGTTCAGCCAGACAGCCGCCCGTGCACGAGGACTGGCTGCTGCGTACAGTGTGGGGTGGCTGCTGTGAGTGTGCGTGACGTAGTTTGGCTGCCTGCCGTGCGGTGCGTGCGTTTGAAGGATTAAGACATCTCTCTCGGCTGGACCGCCATTCATCCATCCATCCATCGGCTCCTGCTGCAGTGAACGGCCATCGCCGCATAGCCGCATCAGCAACAGCTCAGCTGCATCCATCCCAGCACAGCACAGCACGGCAGTCATCAGCCGCCATTCAACCAGCCAGCCTCACTTTGGTCGTTCAGCATTCATCCATCCATTCATTTATCGCTGCAGCTTCCCTTCCGTGGATGCCTCTCTCTGTCTGTCTCTGTCTCTGTCTCTGTCTGTCGTTCCTGCCCTGCCTTCCCGTCAGGGCATGGCGTGTACGAAGCCTGCTGTGTCCCGCGCGACCGCAGTCGAGTACAGGCTCGCAGTGCTGAGAACGGCGCCCTGACCGACGGACACACAGCACAACACGTCACGGCACGAGACACATTCATGATGGATGGTGTCTTATATGTGTGTTATGCAGGTGTGTTGGTTCGTTGTGAGTGGGTGGATGATGAGTCGAGTCACCTCTTTGCCCAGACTGACGAGATAGTTGTGAAGCGTTAAGTAGTCTGTGTGCTCGGCCGGCAAGTTGATGTGGTCGGTCGACAAGGCATAGACTCTTATTACGATGCTGTCGAGAGAACAGACAGAAAGGGGAGACAGACAGACAGACAGAGCAGAGAGTGTTCATTGTGTGTGTTAGACAGAGTGTGGTTCCTCTCGTCCACCAGTGAAAGGGTCGCGTAGATGAAGATGAGACGTGTGGACAGGGGCCTGTGTACGGTAGAGCCACCTTCGCCCCTGTGTACGGTGTGCCACAATCAATCAAGATGCATTGTGTGGCACATTTATTTCATTCATGTGGACTGACTGCGATTGACTGACTGATTGATCGTACCAATTGCATTGAGGTCTGTCGAGTCTGATATTGCTGTGACGGTCTTGGGGAGGTCGTAGACAAGCATCAGGGGCTCCTGCGCGTCTTGGTCATACTGTGCCTCACACACAACACATACGTACATATCACACACGCATCATCATGTCTCTCTCTTTTTTTCTGCTCTTACGGCGATGAGAACGGACGACTTGGTGCCGCTCGGTGCATCCTCCCAATACAACTGCGGCATCTCGTTCTTGTCTCCACACTCCAAGCCGTAATGAGCACCAGGCAGTGCCAGAGACTTGTCGTCCGGCAGGACACAGGAGCTGCTGCCAAAGTCCCGGCGAGTCGAGTACACGGAGAAGGCCTGCACAGTCGACTGCGACAATGAGAGTGACAGTTCTGTTTGTTGTTTGGCCGACCGTGGCATGGTGGTGGTGCGAGACAGGGCAACAGACGAGCAACACGACGAGGCACTGCCAGCGAAGCAGCATCATGGTGCTCGATGATTGATTGATTGATTGATCGATCGATTGTATGCGATTGATTCAGCAAATTGCCTTGGCGCGACAGTCAGAATATATAATCAATCACGTCTAGACAGACAGACAGACTGACAGACTGACTAGCCTACAAGGCGACCGGACCGATCGACCCACCAACAGACAGACCTACAATGAATGTCCCACGACTCGACGGCATACACACGTACCTACATTCAGTCATCAGTGCACTGACTGACTGACTGACTGACTACGGCAGAGCCATCGATCATTGATTGATTCCTCAGTCTATGGAATGCATCCATCCCATCCATACCATCACTCCTCCCCCACACGGGACTTGTGCACCACCTCCGCACGTCCGCCGCCAGCGCGGAAGGCCCGGCCCAAAAGGCTGCCGCCACAGCCAAATGGCATCCCACGCATTCAGCACATCCTTGACCACACCACAGACGAGTGCCACTGTGCGCGGGTAAAGCGCCGCGCCCATCATGCCGCGGACTGGGGGCTCCGTTGTGAAGACAAAGAAGCAGATGCTGCCGAATACCGTCAAGTAGACTGCAAAGTCGTCGATGGACTTGTCCCCAGACAGAATCACAATCGTATCCTTTAATTGAGCAGGCTTCTCTTCACCGATGTCAGCCGCCTTGCGATAGCCCCGCCAGGTGGGCCTGGCTGGGCGGCCACCTGAGCCGCCAGCTGCTGCCCGGCATCTATTGTTGTGAAGACTCTCTCATCCAGATGTCGAGCGATGACGCGTCCGTCGTACCGGTCATGGTAAGCTGAGTGGACTATAAGGTCGGTGAACGATGAGAGGGCTCTGTTTCCACCTGCAGGCAGACAGGCAGGCAGGCAGACAGGCAGGCAGGACACAGACCAACACGTTGAAGACCAGGAAGACAACATCGCCTTCATGTGCTGACTCGCTTCTTACATGTGGTGGGCGGGTCGAATGCGGCAGAAGGCAACACACCGGGCGTCTGGTATGTCATAGGCTGTGAGCTCGACCCCAGGCAGTCTTGATTGTCAACACGGCCCACTCGGAGGGTGTAGACCAATCGACGGCTGAAGAGTGAGTACTGCCGCACCGCTCCCGGCCGCGCGTCAAAGACGGCCCTGCTGCCCACCGCCTTCAAGTCGTCCGCTGTGACGACAATGGGCAGTGAGGGCATCATGCCGCAGTTCCTCACGAAGTGGATGAGCGGCACGATGGGCTCCCAGCAGCCTCCCTCCTCGATGACGTACAGCAGCCGCATAAGGTACTCGATTTGGCTCATCCGCTTGTCGATCCCGATTGCCAGCCGCAGGCCACCCCACACGAGGCGAGCAACCCACACGAAGACGTCCCCAAAGCACATCATCATCTCCCTCATCTTGACTACATCTCGCCGTGCCCACTCCGCCTTGAACGCATTAAGATACGCCCCGATTAAGAACAGAGGAAACCACTCGGAGAATGTGGCTGATCCGCTGATACGAACGGCAAGAATCTTTTGTATCAGCCACTGCAGCGGGAACAGGAGAACAGCAAACAGGATGGCGGATGCGGTGGAGAAGCCAATAATCATCGCAGCGAGGCTGCCGAGATGGCCGATGGCGGTTGAAAGGCCTCTGCAGGCGGCCTTGAGAGAGGCCTGGGCCGTCTTGTGTCGCTTGCGATAAGACAGCACGGAGTTCAGGCCGTTTGTGCGGATGGCGGCGTCGAGGCGGCCCGTGAAGAAGTCCTCATTGACTAGATGACAGCCGACGCTCATGGACGTGGCGCGGAGGGCGCCGCAGCTGTCGGCTTTGAGACACCTCAGCAGGTGGAGGGAAACATCGTCAGGAAGGCCAAGCAGATAGCTCCGGTCGCCCATTGCTCAACAGGAAATACCGAATGGGCCCTTTACTCAGTGATTCGTCCGCGGTGTCGAATTCATCCGAAATTCATCCGGTTTCTCCTCACCGAAGAGGACGAAGAGTGGCCTGACTTTCCGGCTGTGTGTGAGCCTTCCTGCTCGCTAATCGATAAGCGAGATCTCCAAGTCTGTCAGTCGGTCGGTTCCCGCAGCCCCAGCTGCGAGCTCAGCCGAAAAGCTGGCGATCCACTTGCGAGTCTGGAAAACGTCCACGAAGCTGTATGCATGAGTACAGAAGCCAGCTTCCTGCCCAGACTCATCAGCTCCTGAGCCAAAACCCGCAGCTTTTCCATTGCAAATGACTGAAGGGTGGCATGCCAAGAAGCTGGCTCCTTTGACCAGGCTGCCAGCCTCTTGGCTAAGTTGGCTTGAATCACAGCCTTCTCATTGCAAGACACACACAACTTTCAATCTGCCGATGAATGGGCCGGGCCGATGGATCGGTGGATACACAGGTGTCCATCCATCCATCCATCCATCATGCCCAGGCAAGGCACCCGCTCCCTCACTCAAGCAAAACCAACGGGCCATCCAACCTCACTCACTGCACACTTGGGGCAACAACACAAAAAGTGCTGCGCTGCCCTGCCGGGGAGTCCACTCATCACATCCACGTGCAGCACAGACTGGTGCAACGCTGAGCCACAACCATCTCGCTGCGATACATCTAACCCGCCGACATGTTGTTTGCGGGCCTCATCGGGTTGCTTGTTCGATCCGGTCACTGGTGAAGAGGTCGGTGACGTGCTGCAAGCACCTCACGCAATTGCTGACTGCTTCTCTGTCTTTGAGACATATTTCTATGCATCTGTTGATTGACCGGTGTGTAGATGAATCTGTGCAGTGCAGTGCAGTGCAGTGCGGCGTGCGCGAGTGTGGTGCGGGCTGCCCCATAGGCTGTGGATGCTTATACATCTGTCTGTTCCCTGATATGAATCAATCGTTTGTCACGTGCGGTGGTCGGCAGCCACCAAGACAGCCCGCCCCTCTTCTTGAGCTCTATCTTCACACCCATCCCGCCGCACACACCACCAGCACGCCCACCCTCTCTCCCCGGCACTGCGCCCCTGTCATCGCCATCGTCATCGCCAGTCTGTGTCCCGTCATGTCTCGTCGGCTCTCTCCTGGCCTTCATGTACGCGTCCGCCTCAGCCTCAAATCTCGCCATGGATGTGTTGATGTCTCTGAGTTCCTTCCAGAGGGCCGCGTGGAGCCCGGGGGTCATCTGCTGCGGTGCCTGTGGATGTGGGTGCGGCTGTGTCTGGACGGCAGAGTCGGCCTGTGGTGGTGGCGGGGCTGGGCCTGTGTCTCTTCTGTAGACATGGACAGGCTGATGTGTTTGTGGAGGTATGTCGCTGGGGTGGGGGTTTGTGTCGCGGAGGATGGCCTGGGGGGACTGTTGCTGCTCGTACCACACGCTGACAAATCAGCATATGGATGGACAGATTATAAGGAGCACCAGCTGGAGGTTTCTGTCTTTTTCCATGTGTCTCTCACCTTTGCGGCACCTCAGCAGCAGCAGCGGCTTGGTCAATGGTCTCGGTCTCTGCCGTGGACTGCTCCCGCCCATCCAGCAGCTGCACCCTTGTTCCGCCACGTCTCACTATCTCGCCAACCTGCACAAGTAACCAACCATACATCCCGGAGATAGCAATCAAGGATGAGGTTTGGTTTCTCACCTTCTGCGCCCTTGCCCGGCCCCTCCCTCCCTGCACGTTCTTGATGCTGGGTGCGGGGCTCCTGGTGCGGACCGATCCAGAGACAGAAGTGACGGGGGACGTGGGGCGACTGCGATTCATGTACAGCTGCTGCTGCCGCTCCCTCCTCGCCGCCTCACACGCATCCTTATGAACCTGACACACACGTCAACACAGACACACACAGACACACACACACACGGGCAGGCAGCAGGTAAGCACACACACATCCAGGCATGTCGAGACCCTTAGTCATCCCCGGACGGACCGACCTGCATACGGTAGAAGTTATCGATGTCCCGCTCGATGGATGCCCGTGAGACAGGCCGATATGCGACAGAGGGCGAGATAGAGACAGACCGGCAGGAAGGGGTGGAAGGGCGGCTGTTGCTGCTGGTGTGGGGAGGAGTGGGATTCCGTTTGGTGTCCAGCCGAGTGTACACAAAGGGAGGCCGGGGGGGTGCCGGCTCCCCGACCTGCTGGTGCTTGACACGAGCCTTACGAGCTGGCACACTCCCCTGCTGCCTCTGGTCCGCGCCTTTCTCCCTCCTCGGGGGCGGCCTGATATCCCGCATAGACGAGAATGGCGTCAGGTTGTATCTTGGAGGCGGGAGAGGGGAACCAGCACCAAGACTTGAGTCCCTCTCCCCCTCCCGCTCCCTCTGGTGTGTCCATGAGTCGCAGGACCAGTCGGCTTCCCAGGGCGAGAGAGGCTCATCGGCAGCTGACTCATGACGAGACGCATCCCTGCACCAGTCTCGCAGGCGGCTCTCCGGCGGGGCGAACACACGTGGCTTGGACTCTGCTATCTGCTCCATGTGGCTGATGTTGTCAGCCCGTGGGAAGGCCACTTGAGGAGCCGATGCAGCGATAGGGTAGAACAGACGCCGGCCTTGCGCCGCTGAGGAGACACCGAACCATACTTGCCAGTCACTGTTGCTTCCCATGCCTTTCTTTCTAGTACCTGGCTCAACGGGGGCTTGTGAGGCCGCCGGGCCCTCTCTATTCCCTCCATACCACAGATGCCGTCTCCAGGGCACCCGAACCTCCATCTCGTCATCTCCCGTCTCCTCTGCCTCGATGCTCTCACTGACACTGCGCCTCTCTCCCTTGCACCCAATCGGAGACCCACGGACGAGCACGCCCCCGTCAAAGAAGCGAGTCGGTGTGCTGCTGCGGGAGGGTCGCGGCGGCAGGCTGGTGGGCACCGGGACACAATTGTCCGTGTCCTCTTCATCAGCCTCGATGGAGTGCACCCGAACCAGCCTTCCTCCTCTGCCTTTGTGGGTGGCCTTGACGGTGCGATTATTATCATATGGGGCGTGGGGCAGGGGAGGCGTGCGGCTGTGCACACGATAGAGGCGGTTCTCCACCTTCTGAATGTACGGCTGCCTCACTCTCCGCCCAACCGGCCCCACTTCAACCGCAGCTCGGCGGCCATTGCTGCCTTGCGGACCGGGTGCCGGCGGATGGTGCTGTCTGGCAATGGGGGGCCTGACAAAAACACCCTGAGGTGCCGCTGAGCCCTGCAGAGTAATTGTTCCACAGGGGAGCGGGTGGCGGGACAGCACCGGCGGCGGCGTGAGGCATCTCAGTGAAGCCGACGCGTTGAGAGAAGAAGGAGGCTGATGATGGGGATCCCATTTCCACAGCACTGTTGAAGTGGCAGGCGGACCAGCCACAGTGACAGTGCACCGCTCTCTGGGACAAGCCGCCTGCTGATTCTGAGTTCCGCTCATGTCACTGACGGAGCTGACACCGATTGTGTGCAGAGGTGGAGGGGGCCCACGCCATTGTGTGAGTGCTGGGTGATGAGGTGGAGGCGTAACCGCCCGAGGAGCTCCGTGGGGCAACATTGTCCAAGACGGAGACTGAGACTGGGGGCCTCCATGCAGGGATCCCATGGGGGTCGGTCGCCTTTAAGTTGGGTTTGGACATGATATATCGTGTGTGTAGTGCATGATTGGTATCAACACCCCCTTGTGTCCCCTTTCACGCGTCTTCCTTGACGCCATCCATCCTAATCCATCCAGACCACATGCGTGAGCAGTCGAAGTGTGTGCTTGAGTGTGTGTTGCCCCCCGCCAAGGCGGGGGTGAGCAAGAGGCGAGTGGTCCACGTGTTGTCATCACGTAGACCGCTTCTTGCACCACGACCGACATGGCAAGGCGCACACACCTTCTCGATGGCCATGATCTCTCTTCTCGATGTCCGTGTCCCCTCCCTCTATCTTCGAATCCTCTCTTTCAGTGGGCCCAGCTGCAAAACCCAACTTGAACGCAGACACCCAGCCAATGAACCAAACCGAACAATGCGCACCCACCAGACCACACCACACCACACCACACCGCAACCCTTCGATGGCTGGCTCACTTTGGGCTCTGTGACCCGTCCGTCCCTCCCTCCGTCCCCCTGTGCGTGTCCCCTCTCCGTTTGTCTCCCTATCTCGCGCAAATGATTTTCCGTGACTCCCTCCCTCTCTTCGCGCCTCTCTCGTCGGTGACAGCCATGGATGGATCGATCTTGCGGATGAATGCGCTCTCTGTGTCTCGCTCTCTCCCTCCCTCCCTCCCTCTGCTCACACGGACACGCACACGTACACACACACGTGAATCGCTGCAGCCAGCATGCAATGCACCAGGGAGTGTGCAAGCATGTACCAACCTACATGGACCTGCATGACATGGATGACATTGCACCTACATCCACACATGGCATGCAGCACGCATCGGTCGGCAGCCGGACTTCGGTCCCTTGGCTCGCGCCCTTGGCCCGCGGCGGCCGGCCGCTTTCTTGCTCATTCATCCATCCATCCATCCATTCATCGGTCAGTCAGGCATACAAGAACAGAGAGAGAGACAGAGAGAGAGAGAGAGATGAGGGGGAGGAAAGATTCCACCTGAGTCAAAGAACCAACACACTAGCGGGCAGGCGCGCACACACAACCAACCAACCACTCACTCACTCACAAACGAATCGACCTGGTTTACATAGACATGTACCACATGTACCACGGCATGCAGACACACACATGGACGGCATGGCACACCTGCGGGGACAGGGCACGCATGCACGAAAAAAGCACGAAGAGACAGAGACAGGCTGGAAGGGAGGGAGGGAAGGGTGGGAGGGAGGGAGGGATTCAGGGGGGCATGGGGGCTAGGCACACCTGGTGTGTGCGCTCGCCATGTGTGTGTGAAGGTCGGGAGGGGAGAGGAGAGGGGTGTTCGATAAGCGATACCTGACAAATCCTGCCTGTCCGTGTCGGCCTTTCTGCTTGCGGGGATCAATCAATCGAGAGAGAATGATGCCAAAAGGGGCACCGCAGGAATGACACGAAAGGACACAGACAGACAGACAGACAGACAGGTGGAACAAAGAGGCGATCACTTACACACACGTACAGAGAGGCAGGAGGGCGGGCAGGTAGGTAAAGAGTGGGCAAAGGGGGG